GTCACCACCAAAACTATCTGGGCAAATGACTAAACGGGATTTTACACAGAACAAATAAACTTGTAATGAATTTCGATTTAAAGCTTTCGTGACTGCAGGGATTCATCTTCTTGGTTCTTTCGGTAAAGTCACGTAGAAGGAAAATAATGAAAATAAAACGTAATAAAATAATTCTCACGACGTTTCGGCCACAACGCAAGCAGCCGTCTTCAGGTGGAGAACAGGTCTGTCGAGAAGACTATAACCCTGTCGAGAAGACAGACCTGTTCTCCACCTGAAGACGGCTGCTTGCGTTGTGGCCGAAACGTCGTGATAATTATTTTATTATGTTTTATTTTTATTATTTTATTATTTTCCTTCTACGTGACTTTACCGAAAGAACCAAGAAGTTGTAATGAATTGAAAAGGTGTAAAAAGAAGTTCGTAAGATGTATAATAGATAGTGACACCGATGAGGTGGGAGTAACGAATAAAGAAGGCTGACACAGTTCATTTAAAATTGATCTAACTTTTCAATTTATGCTAGTATGAATGTTATTATTTCACCAGAATTACAAAAGAACATAAAAAAACTCACAATATATTATGTGGCCCTTTCTGCCTGTGGTCGAGTGGAATTTTCTCCGGGTCCTTCGGTTTTTCCATCCACATTTAGAGTATTTGGCTGCTGCTATAAATGCCCACGTGATAAGCCACTTCGTTGAGCTCTCATTTGTGGCCAGGTCGCTTCTGAAAAAGCGCTAAATATAGCTCAGTTGGCCCTACCTGGTAAAATAAAAAATAGTACTACGTACAAATCAGGTTCTCTTTAGTGCTCCTAGTAGAGGATTGTGAGAAGAGCATGAAAATGACAGCTGTCTCTTATTTTCAGTTGCAGACCAACGGGTTCTTTACTCATTTGATTCACTATTTGTATTATTAATCTTGTTTATACCCAGGAAAATCTCAATGTGTCTCATGATTCTTTTTTAAGGAGGGTCCTGGCAAGTTTCCGTAGAAGGGGGATGATGATTGCTAAGTAAAATTTCAATTTGGGAATTTTGCGCCTAATTTTCCAGATTCGCCCAATTTGGACCATTGCCGTCGGCACGCAATCGACTACTCTTGCAAATGACGTCACGAGTCAAATTGTATTTAATGGTTTTAAAGTCTCCATAAACAGCACTTTGACAGTTTGTACCGTTTATTCCATTGATTGTTATAATGACTGTCATCAGCAAAGTGGTTCATACCGTCTCCATTTATGTTTATTCCAATCCAATTTGGGCAAACATATTCTACTGTCGCTTTAAATCTATATATATAAAATCGTGCATGTCTGTCTGTCCGTCTGTGTGTGTGTGTGTGGATTTCGGACCATACGCACTTTCATTGGACGGCGGTTGCCCCTGGCAACGGATAGCGACGCCTTCGCCGCTTTCATTGGACCTGGCAACGGCTAGCCACGCCTTCGCCAAGGGCTGCAGTTTCATTGGACGGCGGTTGCCCCTGCCAACGGCTAGCCACACCTTCGCCACTTTCATAGGCCCCGTAAATAATTAAATAACAGCCATTACACAGTATTGTTGGCGCGCTAGGGGGGGGGGGAAGGCACGCCACCCGTACCCTGCCTCTGCCGGGTGGGCAATTTAGGCCAGGCCGGAGGCTCTGCACGCTACTAGGCCTCGACACCCACCACGCCACTCTGAGGTAAATTCATCAAAGTTTTTCCTACTCTTCACTCCACCCCCACCACAATGTGTGCTATTTATATTACTTTTAAACCCAACGCGCCAAACATTGATTACTTAAATGTTCACTGTACAAATAGTCATTAAGCTGGGTCAGCGTACTGCCAGTCTATCATGTAGACTGTAGCCTGCTTATTAAGCTCGGTGAGCGTACTGCCACTCTATCATGTACACTCTAGCCTGCTTATGAAGCTGACTGCGTGTACTGGCAGTCTATAATGTGGACTGTAGCCTGGTTATTATAATCGATTCTTTATATGTTCTTTGTACAAATAGTCATTAAGCTGGTTGAGCGACCCCAGTTCGATTCCAACTCACGCCCACCACCGCTGACGATTATTTGAAACGGACCTGGCCCTCCCCTAGGTCCACTCAGCCTCAAACGCGTAACTGCTGTCGTGTGTGAACATCGTCACTGGGGAGACAAAGGCGGCCGGGCATCGTGGATCCAAGTCCCGGGCGAAGCCGGGTCATGTGTATGTGTGTTTATGTGTATGTCTGTGTGTCTGTATGTATGTGTGTATGTATGTGTGTTTGTGTGTGTGTGTGCATGTATGTGGGTTTTTTTCTATGTCTTTATGTGTATGTCTGCGTGTCTGTATGTATGTATGTACGTGTGTGCATGTGTTTGTGTGTATGTATGTGTGTGTCTATGTATGTGTGTGTATGTGTTTCTGTGTATGTATGTGTGTGTATGTATGTGTGTTATGTGTCTGTCTGTGTGTCTGCATGTATGTGTGTGTGTATTGTGTATGTGTTTGTATGTGTTTGTGTGTTTACGCTCGCATTACACAAATGTGTTGCAGGTCTAAGGAGTTCCTTGCGCAGCATTGCCGCTTTATTATTTCAGTCGTTTACTGCCGTACGCACCCTGAAAGTCGTGTGTGTCTGCAGCAAGCGCGTGTATGTGTACCTATGGACGCGCGCGCGTGTGTTGTGTAGGGGGAACGGTAGTGTTGTGCTTAGCGTGCTGCCTGTGTCTGTGTGTGTGTGTCTGTGTGTGTGTGTCTGTGTGTGTGTCTGTGTGTGTCTGTGTGTGTGGTGTGTGGGGAGCGGTAGTGTAGTGCTTAGCGTGCTGCCTGTGTCTGTGTGTGTGTGTCTGTGTGTGTGCGTGTGTGGTGTGTGGGGAGCGGTAGTGTAGTGGTTAGCGTGCTGTCTGTGTGTGTGTGTCTGTCTGTGTGTGTCTGCGTGTGTCTGTGTGTGTGTCTGTGCGTGTGTCTGTGCGTGTGTGGTGTGTGAGGAGCGGTGGGTGTAGTGCTTAACGCTACGCTGCGCTACCAACCCGGCGAACCCAGTTCCATTCCCGCTCACGACCACCACCGGTGACGATTATTTGAACCTCCCCTAGGTCGACTCTGCCTCAAACGAGTAACTGCTGTAGCGTATTAACATCGCCACTGGGGAGACAAAGGCGGCCGGCCGTGGTGGATACAAGTCCCGGGCGAAGCCGGGTAGTACAGCTAGTAACCTGTAAAAATGTGTGACCTCGTCTGACTCCCCTTCCAATATATATGTTATTTTCTTCTTCATACAATTCAGTGTAAATGTTCAGTTTTACGTGTGTACTTGTGCATAGTCATCATACCAATGTGTCAGGCAGACAGCGTTTAATCAGTGTGTATTGCATACTATGAAATATGGATCAGAAACATGGACGATGACGAAGCAAATAGACAAAAATCTGAAAAGTGTTAAAATGAAGCATGGGAGGAGAGGTGCATGTTTGAAATTACACTGGAGAGGAAAAGCAAACCCATTGCTGGGGGAACATACGCACACTACAGACAACATTGACTGTTAAGAAAAGTATGTGGGCTCAGGGAGGAAATCGTTGTGAGAAGGATCAACGGTCAAAACTGGCGATGGCGTGGCAGCCAGGGCAAGTCGTCTGCCCGTGATAAATTAAGTTCATTTGCAGATGCCGGACAGATCATCACATCACAAGACCATAAAGTAGAGGTGAGGCCTTCATCCAGCAGTGGATAGATCATGGCTGATGATGTACCATTTTTGTTGATTGTACTGCACAGTATTATATTGTACAGTACAGCACTATATTTTGACGTTATTTAAATTTACGTCGATAACAAAAACCCCGATGCAGAAAATAACCCTCGTTGGGGATGCAGCAAGTCAAAACATAACGCTGGAACTATTTTTTTTACTTTCAGACTTATTATAGAGTTAGAGTTCCATAACTTTGAACATATACAGAACATGCTATCGCTTTATTTAACGGGCTGATTTAAGAATTGGCAATCCTAGCACTGTTGGTTTAGCATCAAGAGTATGACACATAGCAGTATCATGTATATGTCAATTCGTTGAGCACGAGTGAATAAAGTATTATGTTCCAGTCACTCTCGGTAGGAACCTGTAAATTCAGTATCATCGTACTAGTGAATTGCAATATGAATTAATTTTGTTGTCAGAGACGATTGCTGTTATCAGTATGAACAAGTCTAACAGTATTGTATTTGTGGCACTCGGTCGCAGGACATTTAGCAGTGTTATGTAATCGTGGATATCAACAATAATTTATTTTAATAGTACGAGAGTTCCCATCGGTGGTAAATTGTAATTGCTGTATTCCAGCATGCATGCTAACTCCGCCGATTACAGCAGTGGGGCGCTGCCAGTTTATAAGCGTCGTACACCGCGCAGCGATTCTCCGAGCAAATATTGTGGCAAAAGTCATTTTCAAGATTATTACAAATCGGTGCAGTTATATTTGAAAGTGAGAAAAAGCATTTTAAATGTGGCAGCTGCTTAAACCAGTCATGTAATGAAACAGGTAATTTATATATTACTTATTATGAGAAATATACAAATGTTGTTTTGATTGTTTGTCATCATTACGAGAGGAGTAAAGTGGAGTTGCAGTGCTGTTTGTGGTGGTGGTGGTGGTGGATTTCTATAGTGAGTGGCAACTGTGGTAATGTTTCTGTTGTCAACTATATTCACATTATGAAGGTCGTAGCAAGTCGCCTGTGTAAGTCATGCACTTACAGGTGTGTATCTTCACCAACCTGCACTGACCAGCGTGGTGGAGTTTGGTGAAACAGCCCTCGCTTATCCAACGGCGGATTGACAAACAGGCTATACACGTACAATTACACACGCGCACTGGCCTTACGTGTTCAACGGACACACGGTCGACCGCTTCCCTCTATATTCACTAACCACGGGCGTCCCGTGGCTGCCTCTGCTCGTCTCCTTCCGCCCATGGGTGGCGACAGGCCGACTGCGATGATTCCCTGTCAAACTCACCCGTCAGACACGACCCCCTCGGCGATCTCACACACGTGCACGAAGAGCAGCACGAAGGTGAAGATCCAGCGCAGGTTGTGGCCGGGGAAGTGCAGCCACGTGTTGTGGTGGATCTGCACCTTGGAGCTCTGGCTGCCCCATCCTGCTCGCGCGCATGCACGCGTTACCATAAGACGTTGTATGTATGAGTGTATGTTGAACTTCTTTTGCACCGTACGTAGCCAACCGTGCTAGTCGGAGGGTTGCCATTCCACAGGGCCGTATTGTTTTTTTTCCAGCCCATGCTGTCCTCCACACCTGGACGATTGCGAGCCTCTCCATGCCGTGCGGGGAGTGGGGGTTATTTGGCCGCAAGTCACCACGCTGGCTATTTAGTCTTTTTCGTAATTTAATTCCGGTAATATGCACTTTATTTTCCCGTTGTGCATTTTGCTTTGTATCGTAGCATTTTACTTGGAAATGCTGAAAAATGTTCAATTGTAGTTTCAATGGAAACTAACGGGGTTGAAATTGAAATGCTCTGTCACAATAACAAGTTGTGTTTTTTTAATGGAAATGTGGACCAGGGAAATCATAAACGTGTTACATTATTTATTTTCATGAGATGACGACCGAGGTCGCTTGAACCGTGTAAGTGAGCAAGTGAGCTGCGGCAACCTTCTCACGCGGTGAAATCGTCGCAATGTTCTCCCCTCGAATACGAGCTGCTCAGCAGGCTGAACAAACGTCACCGCTGTTGTCATTAATAACGAATGAAAGGTTAACGCAAAATACAAACGGGTTCTCTCTTTCACTGCAAGAAAACATGATCTTGACATTTTGGTCAACTTTCCTCTTTAAGATATGACAATTTCAAGAAAGCAGCAACTTTATACAAAGCATGAAAAAATGCCACCTAACCAATTAGACATAACATGTGTCACTGACCTTGAAAGCAGAATATTTGTCAAAACAACATAAACAAATGTTCGTCTGATTGAAATAAACTTTACACAAAGTATTCACGTGCAATAAAATCAAGAGCTGGGATTAAGTCACCTGACAACCAGAAGAGGAGAGGAGGTGACACAAGCATGCACCTGTGAGGAGGAGAGGACACGAGAGTGCTGGCACATGGACACACCTATGAAGAGGATGGGGAAGGTGATGAAGAGCAGGAAGACGTGCGGCACCAGGTTGAGCGCGTCCACGAAGCAGCCGTTGCTGAGCACCCCGCGGTCCACGCTGTACGCCGACACGTTGGAGCTGTCGCTGCCGCAGAACGCGAGCGCCATGGCGGGGCTGCTGCGGCCCTGCCGCGTCCCACACACACACAGCGGTGGGATGGGGGCGAGGGGAAGGAGAGCAGCGACCCCGGTGACCGTGAGGTGAGACGGGGAAGGGAGAGTGTGGAGGAGTGGGGCAGGGGGGGGAGATATCGTGGAAGGAGGTGGAGGGAACACGGTGGGAAGGGGGAGGGGAGAAGAGATGGGAGGGTAGGGAGCGGTGAGGAAGGGGAGACGAGGGGTGGGAGAGACGAGGGAGAGAGAGAGAGGCCGTGGCACCGTGCCCACTGCCTCATGGATGGGGACGCATCACTCGGACACCTGCTTGAACCGTTGCGTCACTGAGCACACGCGCAGGGCACACACAAAATAAACACAGCAACAGCAGCCCGTAGTTTGCAATGCAAGAGGGATCTATAAAGCACCTGAACACAAATGTAACTCAAGATGCTGCTGAACACCCAAGGAATAGGGAACGGAATTGCTTTCTGACAGGGTTTAGAGATTAATGATTGTAAGGAGCTGTGCAGAGCGATGGTAGCAGCGTGTGATTACAATATTAATTTCCCTCATCATGTGCAGCAGAGCAACCCACCACTGATTGAACATTGTTGCTTATAAGATGAATACGACAAAACATACCACACGTGACTGACCTTGGGAGGCGTATTACATTATTCAAACTGAGACGTGTCCATTCAGGTCGGGAAGGGGAGCCTGAATGCCACTTCTTCCTGTGCGGGGCTCAGAGCAACCCCTGCTCACACGACCTCTCACTACCTTGGCTCTCAACACAGTAACATTTCTGGGGACATGAGCCCACAACATTGAATTTCAAGGGACACGGGGAATTCCATGTGATTACAACACAGGGCACACTGACAATCGTTAGCACGGGGCATGATCACAAGAGAATTGGAAAATTAAGAGCCGGATCCCACAATTTCAACACAACGGACACAAACCCAGACAAGTGCTATTAGCATCCCACACACGTGCTTCGTGGCATAAGAGTATCACAGCTACAAGTGGTAAGAACATCATTATCCATGATTTGTCCACTGCTGGATGAACGCCTCCTCAAGTCAATGCCATCTCTCGTTATCTCACTATGCAACAATCGATCGAGCTTTTACACATGAGCTGATTTCAATTCTTTATAACGGCAAAAATACGTCATGTCGGGCGTTCTCTTCCTGGACTGCCACTCCACGATTAGTATCGACCACTGCCCACCAATCCTTCCATTGACGCGTCCTGCCCAAGCACACTTACTTTTATTAAGTCAATATAATGCATGATACAATATCAAATGCTCTCTGATCCACATGTTCCTCTTGCTGTCTCTGAACATAATTCCACTCATCCGCCTCTCCAACGCTTCGTGGCACACTCTTCCGATTGTGTTTCCGTAACCCTTTGTCGACGAATATACTTCTGCCACCTATGTCACAGAAGATGTATCGCCCGCCAAGTGGCAAGGTCACAGATGCAAGAAAAATCTTGTCCGATCATACAGAAGAACGCAACGGGCGTCTCGAGTTACAATGGGAAAAAGGTGTCCCCCGCACGCTACACAGGAAGCACGGTGCACGCGTGTCCCCTGGGTGGACCTTGCTGCCTGAAGAAGACTCATTGCGCGAAACGTTATATGTCCTGGCCATAGCACGGTGTTAAAGACCACCAAGCTGGTTACTTTCCACGTGTCCCTGCACAGCTGTGAGACACGTGGGTCCTTACACAATTACGCCGCCGACGATTATGATCCCTGGGCACTCGGGGAATAATCTCAGCCGGAGACATACGGGGCTGAGCTCCGGAAGAAAGGAAAAACCCCATGGATTAAATGAGAAATGAACCGCTACTGACAATGACAATTGGGACATGGTCGCTGACACCCAGCAGATGGGTTCCTGTGAAGGAAGGGGTGGGGGGGTCCCGGCCCCCAAGTCCACACAGCCCGTACGGGCTGAGCGCTGTTCACGGGATTCAGGACAAACATGGACACACTGGCCGCCCGCTGCTGCTGCGCAAGGCGCGTTCAGCGGCGGACGCGGAGCGCTGCGGGGAAGAAGGAAGCGCCGCTGCGTGTCTGTTCAGGCTCCTATTACGATGAAGATGACGACGGTGGTAATGGTGGTGGTGATGACGACGGTGATAGTGATGATGGGTGAAACCATCATCGCCCACCCCACCCACCCCGTCACCTACCAGCTTCACCCTGTTCATGGTGTTCATCGCTTCCGAACAAAACGACGGCGCCTCGCATCCCCAGCGAGAGAGCGGGGAGAGCAGTGGGGAGAGGGAGGGAGAGCAGGGAGAGACGGGGGGGGGGAGAGTTGGCGGGCGGCAGGGAGAGGAGGTGGAGGAGAGAGGGGGGATGGAGAGAATGGGGAGAGAGCGCGGAGGAGAGAGGGAGGGAGGGAGCGTGCGTGAGTGACCTTCGGGCCGCAGTGACGCGGGGACACTGGGAGCCGCGGGGAAGGAGACAGGGGGCAGATGGGGGAGCCGGGGACAGATCGGGAACAGATACGGGAAGGAGACGAGGTGACGACAGGTGGAAGATGACGAGTGGAGGTGTGGTAAGAAGGGAAATCTTTCATTTAAAGGGGGGGGGGGGCACATAAAGCAAAGTATTGAAAATACACACAAAAAAACGAAATGATGAACGAAGCAAAATGCCGACTACACCGAGCATCTTCTTGTTTCCTCTGATCGTAAAAAAAGAAGGGACAGGAGGATAGCTCAACGGCTACACCCTGCTGTTTACAATCATATAAGAATCCGGTGCAGGCTAACCGCTTACACGCTGCTGTAAATAATTGGTGCGGAAGGAGCTGGCCTGGTGGGACTTGAGTCTTCTTTGACGGGTGAGTAACGCGTCAAAGAAGAGAAGAGGCACGATCCAAGAAAAACTCCCTCTCCATGACGTCCGTGCTGTCGACTCCATGTATTCTCTTCTGCCAATCTCTTCCTCTGGTGTGTTACACACCGTTTGTCATCTAAACGATGCGCGTATTCCCAGAGGTTTTTATTTATTTAGGTACCTACAGAGTCTTGAGACGCAGTCGGATTTACTGGTAGGAACCTCCTGGTTCCACCAGCCCACAGGAGATTATTGTGTTCGTCCGTCGTGCATCCAAAAATGGGAGGGGTGGGGCTGGATGGAGAGGGGAGGGTGGGGAGGGGCAGGGTGGGGAGGGGAGGGGCTGGGTGGGGAGGGTGAGGCTGGGTGGGGAGGGGAGGGTAGGGAGGGGCTGGATGGGAAGGGCTCTGGGTGGGGAGGGTGGGAAGGGCTCTGGGTGGGGAGGGTGGGAGGGGCTGAGTGGGGAGGGTGGAGAGGCGAGGGTGGGGAGGGTGGGAGGGGTGGGGCTGGGTGGGGAGGGGCTGGTCACCCCATGGTACCCTTATAAAACTCAACGTTTAACCTACTCACATCGGCTTGTGCCCGCCCTCACAGTCGGGCATATTTGCGGAATACACCACGCCGCCGTTGACCCTGGCCATTGACCGAGCAACCACGTTCCTACCAGCTCCCTCCGCAGGAATGTGTTAGCGGGTGTACCCCACCGTCGGAGTGTTGTTTGCATGATAATGCACCATCAGAGGAAAGCCTCGGGATGTTGTAACCATGCGTTTGAAGGATCGAGTTGACTGCGTGTGGAATATGTGGCTGCTATAAATTTCCACGTGATAAGCTGCTTCGTTGAGCTATAATTGTATGGCCCGGTCGCTTCTGCAAAATAACTATATAGCTCAGTTGGGCCTTACCTGGTAAAATAAAAAAGTTTAGTTTTAATCTAATTTGGGTGATTTCGAAGACTATTCGGGCATCTCTTCAGATAACCCAGCAGTGCGATGTGGGCGAGGGAGTGAAGACAATCGGTTGGCGTTGCTTTGAGGGTCCCCGTTATTGCGTTGTTGAGGTGAGGGTCGAGCGTTCTCGAACGTGAGCTTGGCGACCAGACGAGCGTGCAAGTAACTCTGCAAAAGGCGACAATATTGCCAAGTGTGGCCATTCTTAGATCTCGGGGCTGACGCTCCTCAGGTTATCCTGAAGAGTTTTGTAAGAGAAGTCCAATCCTTGACTTGACATTTCCTAGGATCTTCTCTTAGATGAGTCCAGAAGGTCAGGCTTCAGTTGGAGGGTAACCCCAAGGTTTTTTTGGAAGGGGTCGTTTTTATCAGAGTTGCCACACAAAATACATATCAATCACGTCCCTTGTGGCCTTATTAAGATTAAACACAGTGGGCCCTTGTTTTAGTCACGTTGCTGAAAACCCCATCTGTGGAAGTATGTTCATGCTGCTAAGTAATTGGTCAGTATCTTGCTAACATTCTCGATGTTCGGCCCTCGGGTTATGAGGGCTGTGTCATCCGTATATATGCATTCGTGGGACATGGTTGATAAATCACTTACAAAGATTTTAAAAAGGGATGGTGCCTGAACCAACCCCTGTGAGAGTGTGGATCTAGCATGTTTTTTTTCCAAACAGATGCATGCAAATTGTGCAGTTGCTGTGAGCTGAGGAAAAGAAGCATATCGTCATGCGGCACTTGATTACAGCAGACCATGTCTACAGATGGTATCAGAGGTCGCTGAGAGGTTTATAAAATGCGGCCTCTCTTATTCTCTTTGAAAGTCAGTTTTTATTTAGCTGTGAATGCCAGAAGCAGATTGCTGCAGCTTCGTCCTGGGTGGAAGCCTATATGTTCGATTGGGAGGTTGTCCTCTACCCAGGGGTATAAGGTATGCGAGTAGGGTACGATCCATCACCTTGGAGGTCGCTAACAAGAGCAATATCGGGTTATGACTTGAAGGTTTGTCATGAGGCTCTCCTGGCTTGATGGTGGTAACCCTTTAGGCAATGTCCCTGTTGTGTGTATGACTGAGGGTCACCAGCCAGTCTCGTCCACCTGTGCCCTTATTCTTTAAAACTTCAGAGTAAATATGTAATTGTCGGCCACCTTGTTTGAGTTATAGCCCTTGAAGGCCTTATCAACCCCAGTCCTGAGATAGGGGGCTGCAAGTGAGGATGAGGGAGCGAGATGACAGAATGTATCTATAATGTTCTTGCTTGCAGACTTTGCGTGTTTAAGAGCTTATTGGTCAGCACCTTAGAGTGGGGAAGAATGCATGTCGCCACTGGGTTACTGTTTTTGTGTTTTGATTTTTAAAAAAAATCTGAGGTCTTGGTTATGGTCTGTGCACCACGTTCTGAAACGGAAAGTGCCTGGTTATTTCAGGTCGAAGAGTGCCAGGCTGTTTGGGGTCGAAATGAAAACCCATTTCTTTGATACTGCTTTTTAAATTAAATTAGTTGTACTTCCACCGCACCTCCAATTTGCACGGTTGGCGACGATCGGTATGAAAGAAGTTCAACATACATACATACCTACAGGTGCATGTGTTTGGCTGATGTGAATTCCGTGAGCTGTTCACCTACCTTGTCAATGTTTGAGTAGCCCCAGTCTGTGTCCGTGGCTGTTAAAATCACCAACGGGATCTCTGTGTGGCTTGCTGGTGGAAGTGCTGGCAGGGGGGAAGCCGATGTTCGGGGCCTTGCAACCTTCGATGAGTGTGACTTGTCTGAATCAGATTGTGATGGCAGATACGCATGTGTCCATCCACGTTCTTTATAAAGACTTCAAAGTCCATTAGGCCTTTCCTGACGCAGATGGCGAAGCCATATTTTGCATGATCGATGCCTGTGCTGAGGTCGTACCCAAAGATCCTGTGATTTGAGAGCTATTCACTGTTTTTGGCATGGGGCTCCTAAAGGGCGACATTGATGTTGTTGGCTGATCGAGTGCTGCTGGAGAAGTCTCATTTGGAGTGCTACTCGCGTAAGGTGCTACCACTACTATACAAGGTATGACTGTCAGTAATAATACTATATGATTGTAGCCTATATTTCTGTAATCATATAAACAGGTTCATTTCTATATATTTGGTTTAAAAGAAAAAAATAAGCCGAGATAGATGTGGTGTGACAAATTAATTCCTGTAACAGTATTTTCCAGACTTTTCTGTCTGAAATTAAGGAACGGACTTTGTTCAGAGAATTGTTGTGCAGCAGAGGCAGTGGACCAGGGCTCTGGGCTTCTGTTGTGGGGGAACCAAAGAGCTGTCTTCGCCGTCGTCATCTTGGAGCGGGTCGTCTTGATCGTCCTGGAACGGGCACCTTGTAGTCTTGGAAGGCTAGAGTTATATTGTCTCCGTGACTGCTACGCATCCGCTCCTGTGTAGCTCGCCAACTACACAGGGAGCGTCGCGTAGAGTCACATAAGTTACCCAAGTGGAAATAGTCACTCGCCGTTGCTCGTTAAGTTATCAGTGAGTCGGTGGACTTTATTCTTCATAAATATACATATAACTGAACAAGGTGTTTCTGAGAGCTACATTACAAAAGGAATGGAATGAGGACACCGTCCAATCTCCCCTCTCTTCACAGCCCAGTGCATGGGCACCTCCTACCCATGGGCCCACGTGCAGTTGCACCGCCTGCACACTCGTTAACGATGCCACTGAGCGGGTGACTGGGTAGTTGTACTCGGTTGGGTTGGTATAGCGTTGTCAGACAACGGTGAATGGGGATGCTGCTAATTAGGAGTTGCAGTGTCCCAGGTGTGGGTGGCGTGCGAAAGAACGATCTGGTATGGAGGGGTTCACAGGGTACCCTGGGGGCGGGGGGGGGTGTTGGGTGACCTCTTGAGGCAGCCAAGCTTCTGCTGACAAACAGCGCGGGTGGAAATGCGCAAGCATCCTCCGCGTGCACGTCCACGGCTTCCTGCCATTCACACGGCTCACGCCTTCTCAGCCACACACGTCACCACCTCCTCCTCTTCCTCCTCCTCACCACCTCCCCTCCCTCCTCACCTCTCAACCACACCGTCTTTGTCCTCCTCGCCTCTTACCACGCCCTCTGATCCCCCTTCATCACCTCTCACGCACTGCTCTCCCGCCGAACATATCAACAGCCTCTCTTCTCACTCCTCACCTCACCTCTCACCACCCCCTCTTCCTTTCCCTTCAAAATACAAAGTTCCTCCATATAGCCTTAACAGACTTTTGGGGCAAGTGCTGTTAGTGAGCACCTATGAAGGGATGCACGGCACACGAGGGGGTGGGTGGCCAGCACCACACCCGGCCGACTTTGTCTCCCTAGTGGCGATGTTTAGACACCTCACGAGGTACTCATTTGAGGCCGAGTCAACCTAGGTAAGGTCCAGGACCAGTTCAGATAATCATCACTGGTGTTGAGTTGTGAGTGGGAATCGAACCCGGGTCGCCGGGTTCGTAGCTTAGGGCGCTAACCACTGTACAACCGCTCCCCTC